GAAAAATTCAGCTAAGAAAGTTTCTGGTCTCAATTGGTCGAAAATAGCACATAAGCAACATGAATGGAGCCAAAATTTTAAGTGCTTGTAGAAGAGGCTGAATGTAATTCAATTTGAAAACTTTTGTCTGACTACGCAGACTATCATTAAGCAAGAAGCATCACCAGCATCAAGTTCTGACTTGCCATGTACACTAGGAGTTTTATTCAATCCTGTAATTAAGCCAACGAATAGTGGATATTCAAAACGACAATAAGGGATCATTGTAGCAACAAGTTCAGCAGTCATCAGATTCATCAGCAGGTAGCCTCTCACCACAGTTTCCAGAACCAGCAATGGCATTAGAGTCGCGATAAAAATAAAATTGTAAGTCAAACAGAATTTATACTAATCAAAATATTTTTTTGGACTTATGTCTATTGGCCTTTTTGTGGATATAAAAGATGAAAATGCCCCACCGTCCTGCCCAATTTTTTTTTGGCATTTATAGTCTTTGCTTTTTATACAAAAATATTTAGCTAAGAAAATTTCTGGTCTTAATTGGTCGAAAATAGCACATGAGCAAAATGGATGGAGCCATACTTTCAAATACAATAAGAAGAGGCTGAATATAATCCAATATCACAATTTGAACAAAATTAGCAACTGGAAATAAGCTATGGATTGAGTCACAAAAGGACTTATTCAATTTCTTTGATTAATAATTGTTTATTTGCGATTTAATCGATGACTGGATTATGTAAATTAAAAGGTGTGATTCCTTTGCAATTTCGGATTTTAAACTACTCCAAATTTGATTGATTTAAGCTTGATGAGGCTGAGAATAGGAGAATGATCAGGGTTCTGTGACAGATCCAACTTAATTTATAATCCACTTAATCTAAACTTAACCGTTTTAACACATGTCTATAGATTATTTACATAACAAGACAAAAATGATAGCTTGTCTATGATGATGCAGTAACACGTTTTAAGAGGCTATGAAAACTCATCATTTATCATCAAAAGCCTTAAATTCTCATAATATTGAAGGCAAACTTTATCCTATGCAGCCATACAATGTCCTTTATGTACAATATAAAAGTCGATATCCTCATCAACTTATGGAATTTATTGAGAGCATAAAAGCATTCTATTTTCATTCACATCTAAATTGATTGTTTAAGTGTGTTGAATTGCACTGAATTTTTCAATCGTCTTATGTATTTCTCCTGTTTTTATTGGAACGTGACAGGAATTTTAAGCTTATTTGAAAGAATTATTGATTAAGAGAAAATTCGAGAAAATTTATTCGGTGATTTAATGTGTTGGATGTTGTTGTGAACATCAAAGGGAATATAGGAGAGTGTTTTTAGTAGGAGAGAAAGCATACAGGAAGAACAACTCAATTAGAAAGTTTTTCAATCTATCAAAATTACTTTACATGGTTTAATAGTAAAAATCACTCACTTGGAAATTTAAATCTGAAAATTTAGGGTCAAATTCATGTTTACTATTGAGTTAAAAAATTGCAATTCACTCAAAAACGGTGAGCGTAACTCTTAAAATTAAATTGAGTAGATTTAATAATTATTGAAACATTAAAATTTCAATATTAATTAATTTTGTTATTTTTTTAAAAAATTGTATTAAAAAATGCGGGAAAATTCAAATTTGAAAATAACGGATTGTTAAGTTTGACTCTTTCATAATCATTTTGTCAATTTCCCAGCTATTAAAGTCAGTTTAACTTCCACAAACATTAATTATGTTTGCATAGTAAATTGGAGGCAATTCAAAGTTGTTATATTTGTAGACAAAATTTTACGTTGAATTTCTTGAAGCGACATTAAACTAAATTAAACATGCTCTAACATTAAATTATTAATTATTCATCAACATCATTATAAGTCCCACTGAGAATTATTTCCACATTTGCTCCTGAAGTTTTATTGTTATTATTTTCACAGAATTTATTCAATCAAGAAAGAAAATGTCGACAAGAGAAAATATTTCTTAAAGCTTATTCTAGTCGTTGAATCGAACACATCAACGTTTGAACATCTGATTGAAATATTTGCTTCATTGCGATAGCAAAAAGACAAGGAAATTGAAAATCATCAATCAATCAGACATAAATTTAAAGTTCAAATTTGAATCTACAAATAGAGAAATTTATTGAATTTTTTTTTTATTTGTTTGACTTTTGAAATATGCATAAAGTAACAACAGACATACTTATTTGATTGAGCGACATAAATTCAGTTTGGGAGATCACAAATGACAAATTTTTTTGTTAAATTGAATTCTAGAGCATTGAAAAAATGTGATACATGTTTAAATATCATATTGACATTTCTTGCAATTCCTCTATGACTTTTTCCTTTTCTTAATCTACATAATGTACGCTTTTGTTAAATGGAGCAAGGAAAATGAAAAAAGGAGAATTTTGGTGCATTTTTCTTGATTGTTAGATATGAAATTGGTAATATAAAACTGAGGTATGAGATAAATGATAACATAAACAAAATTCGTAGATTTATCAAATATTTTAATGTTCCCGCTTTTTCAATAGATTTGAAAAGCTTTTGTTTATTGAAAACTAATTTAACTTTTGATTCAAGCCTAATTGAAAGATAAATGTGTTTTTGAACGTTTTGCTCACAAATTTTAAATAATTTTAATCCTTTCAATAACTTAAATCAAAAGGAATAAGTCAAAATTGGTCGATAAAATACCGAAGTGAAATGTCTAGTGTATCTAGTGCAGCAAAGCTAGTTCTTATCATTTTGATTCGACAAATATTTTTCTCAAAAACACAATAATTCTCAAATTCCAAGTTATTTCCATTAATTCTATTTTTAAAGTTTTAAAAGTTGTTCAATCGAACAAAATTTTCTTAGAACTTCTCATTAAATTGTGATCAGGTACAGTAACTTACTAAGTTGTCGTCAACTTTCGCTCGTATTCAACTGAACTCTTGACATCGTTTTTCTCATAATTCATTTCAACTTTCATCTGATTTGAACAACAAGCACAAATAAATAAAGAACAACTTGACATTAAGGCATTCGCGTATGAAAAAAGAAGATTGAAATAAAGCAAAAATGTGAAAGATTTTCGACAAGTGGGGAAGAGTGAGTAAATAAAAAAAATAGCAAAACAGCAACAACATATCAGCATAAACAAGCATGAAATGATCCACAAGAGATATGGAAAAAAATCTCATCTTATCTTATTTTGATACGAAATACAAAATTTATACAGTATGTAGTGTAATCAGTGAGAAGCACGAGAGACGAGCTCATATGGTAAACGTGCCAAGTGGCTTCTCGCAAAACATACATATAAGTGCGGGTGCAACATGTCGACATAACGATAAATAAATGATAACTTTGTTGATGTGGGAATAGAACCAAATATTTAATCTAAATTATGTCATAAATGTTTTTTTCCGCATAACAAAACTGTTTATTTTATGATTGTGCTGCTCTCGTGTCTTTATATTATTGATTTTTTTTCATCGGTTTTTGATGATAACGCCAATTATATTCCCCCTCATACTCGATGTCTATGTCGAAATTTCCGTCTATCTTCTTATTGTTTACGCTTACAATTGATTGCCAATGATAATATTACATCATCATGATAATGTATAGAATTAGATGTTCATGTTAAGATGATTTCTTCTTCTTTGATGATTTTGAATTATTTTAAAACTGATAAAATATTATTTTTATATCTAGGCATATGCTTGTCATTGGTATAAACAACAAAGTGTATAAAATGATCAAACTTCTCATTCATCTAAATTATAAAAGATTGATTACTTTGGAATATTCCAAGAACTGATGCTCAGGTGTATTAGATAATGGCAGATGCTTAAATCTACATAGACTTTATTGGATTCATACAGTTCTTATTAAGAATGAACTTATAAGTATTATCTGATGAAGTTCATTGTCAAAAAGCGCCTGGAGATATTTCCAAAAAACTGAAGTAGATATTCCGAAATCGAGGATTATCCACTTTAGTAAAATTGGCCGTATATTCTTAAGATTGAGGTCAAAACCAAAATACCTGAAGATACTCTGACTTGAGAATTTTCATACTTATAACTTAAAAATATCAGTCAAACCAAAACATTTCCCTTGAAAATTATTTGAATTATTCTTTCTTTAATTTTTTGACATCAGGGCTTTGTGTCATTCAAGTGCATGCAGTTTAAGTACTCAGCAACAAGTTTGCATAAATTTTAGAACTGGCACGGAAAACCCATCGACTTGAGATTCTATCTAAATCAGATTTTAAACACTCATTGGTTTTGACAATAGATAACAGTATCCTAATCTCAATAATCCAAACCTCGTGAGGCTTTCAATTAAAACCTTACGTCAGGTTATGTAATACAAACAAATGGAAATGGAACAAATTGATGAATCTCTGATGTGAAGGATCAGATCCAAAAACAAATGTTTATCGATTCCAATTTCACACAAAACCACCAAACAAAAGCAAATTGATTTAAATACGCTGAATTTGAAAGTTATTTCGTTTATTTACCGGGAATAACAAAAAATTTGAAAATTTGAATTTCTAAAGTATGCAAAAAAAATCAAATTTTATTGACCAATTAAAATAGCAAGCAGGTGCTTCATTCAAAAAAGAACTGTCTATAAGTGGTTTATCAATAGCATAAATTAATTCAATTTACATTTTAAACAGTTGTCAATATATTCAATTCATAACTGCTGTAGGCATTAATCAATCAACAGGAACAAAATGAATTATGCGAGGGGATGAAGCTATTAATTAATATTTGGTAATTTTTTTTTCATAAACACGACAAATGCAATTCAAGCTCTCTACGTGAGGAATAATGCGAATTTTTCATTTTCAATTCCAATTTTGATTGTTAATGCGGATACATAAACATTCGGTATGGAAGTAAGGGATGTAGCCTGGGAGGTTGTAGATCCAGCTACATCCCTGTCATAGATATAATATAAAATAAATTGTACTCACATGATACGTGCAGAATCACGTTGTCTTATGGATTCATCACGACTTAAAACATCCAAAATAATTGAGCGTTCATGATCTGTAAGATTATCGAGCACCTGACTGGTTTGAATGGCTAAATCAGGACCCAAGGCATGCAGTGAATCATCATTGATATTATTGTTGTTATACATTTGCTGACTACTATCAGTGGTCGTCATTACATTTGAAATTGTGTTATTTTGAACATCAATGTTCTGTGTATGACGTTGTGTGACATTTGATTGTGTTGTGATGGAATTACACGGAGTTGGCGGTAAACGAGCTCTTTGTTGATTTGACATTTTCCGTTTTTATTTATCCCCCAACCGAAATCTACTTTACTTCTCTTTTGACCTTTTACCCTCGTACGCTAATGTATTAGAGTCGTGATGATTCCTCTCCTTGTATCTCTTGTTATGCTTATATATACAAAAAAAAATATTTTATATCCTGCAGAGATATTTTATAAAATAAAAAAGAAAAAGAAGAAGATGAGAAAAAGGAACATTATCATTAAAGTTTATTAAAATTTAATGTTATTTTTATGAGCATCGTACATCATGAATTCATTTCTGTTCTTGTTATATTTTTTTTTTATTATTAACACACATCAACCTACTTTATGACATTCTATTTTTCATTGTCTGAAGGAATCAACGCACATATTAATCATCTGAACAATAAAAAGGGCTTGTTTGCTAAGCTATATTTAAATAACAATATTCATTTAAGTCTTTAGAGAATTTGTGAAAGGATTATGGATGGGAAATTAGATGAAGCAAGTCATTTGACTACAATGTGATGATACTTTAAGCTGATTATACTGGGTGAAGTTCATTTGATGCGAAAGTTTTGGGTGGATGTAAATCATCTAATGCGTGATGTTATTGATATGAGCACTTGTAACCTAGTTTCTGGCAATTCTGAACGAAAACACAGCTTTCATATCCATCAAAACCGCTATTTTGTTTCATAATTTAAAGAATATAATTCCGACAAAATACTTTAACTCCACAATGATTCAGATTCGGAAAAAATGTTCAAAAATTCCTTGTGCACAATACTTTTCCGACACATTAGAAAATTGAAAGTTTTTGTTAATTTCTCTGGATTTGAATCTTTTAGCATCTTCTAGATAATATTTTCGTTCATTGCTCAAAAAATCAGTCCTTAATATAAATGATAAACATGATTTTTTACCAAAACTTTGTAAAAGTTTATCAAAAAATATTGTGCATGATCAAATTTTGTATGAAAATTGATGTAAACTTTGATCGCAAATATCTCGAAAACGGCATCAAACGGCATGTCCCCAGTTGTATGGGCGATAGATTTAAGCTTAATTAATTGATTTGTATAGGTTTCAGAGAGGTCTTTGGAAGACTTTTTAACTTATGAATAGTTTAAGTTTTGTAAAAATACTCAGATTTCAATTCATTTTTAAGGCTTAATAAGCAGATTTCTATTGAGTTTGTTGTTTTAATATGTAAAGCTAAGCTTAAATTAGCTAGCAACTGCTTTCAAGACATCCAAATAACAACTTAAAGTAGAAAAAATCATATTTTTTTTTCATACACAAATTGTAAACTAATTTTGGGTGAGATTAAATTAATGATTTCTGGAGTTAGACAGCAAATAGGAACGAGATATTTTTAAAGGATATGCATGAAGGTAAGATCTTTAATCTGGCATTTAAAAGACAAAGTTTAATTAACATGAAATTTTGAATTTTTGAACATTTTTTTCGATTCTGAATCATTGTTAACTCTTTGAATTTATACTCGTGAGAATCAACAGGTGGATGAAATTATGTTATCGCTGAACTTGTCTACAAAAGGAAGTTCATTTTTCTTGTTTTTTTAAACTTGCAGAATTCTATTCGTCTATTAAAAATGGGATCTTTAGAGTCCCCTTAACCTCAACTCTTTACTTTACATCACTAAAGAAACCAAAATTGTTTAAAAGATTAAATCCAATAATAGAAATGATGAGCTACATTTCAATCACAATATTATTAAATAATAATATTTTCTCTGAATTGAATGCCTCAATATCATTGCCAATTCATGAAAGAAAAAAAATTCTATTCAAATCACATTCTCGTATTCATGATAGCTTAAGTGCTTCTACTTCCATCCATTCATAAAAATGATGAGGATTCTTATGACAAAATTGAATTGACGTTTAGAAAGGTAATGGATGGAATATATCCATTTTCATATATCACACTTCCGTAAATGCTAATGGAACTGCTTGTTAATGGGAACAAAAGATGATGAAAATCTAATTAACAAATTTCATTAAGATGTAATCATATCATGGCATATAATTTTTGATCCGTGTCTCTGTAAATCAGCAGCAAGCATGAACACAATATCTCTTGTATGATAATCCAATTAGCTTCTTTAAGTCTGGATTTTGATGCTCAGCTGCCCGAGGAATACATTCAATGTCTTTGGGAGTTGTTCACAGAAATTGAGATTTTTAGACCCTCATGTCAATTTTGATGGTTTGAGGAAGTTGTATCGCATTTGGTATGGGAATTTGGCAAGCGGTAGCCAGCGATAGAGCCAGTTTATGCGGCATCTGTGGGAGGCCATGATCATGATTGATCTGTAAGTTCATTAAAGTCAGTAAGTAAGAAAGTGTGGAGTTGGCATACAACATACTATCAAGTTCACAAAATTGGACATAACTTAAGAATAACTCCATTAAGTGTAAAACTAGCTACTCCTTTAGAGACTTAACCTAACATCATGAACTCTCAGCTCCAAGAGCTTACAAGTCTTCCCATATTTTCTATTTGCTAAGCCTGTGCTTGTATATCTGTGTCGACATCCAAAACTCCTTAAATTCATCAAAAATCATCCATGACTCGGTGTATATTTTACCATAAATTCTATGAACTAGATGATGATTAATAATGAACGACAGAAGATGAATGTAAATAAATAATAATGATAATAATATTACGACAGAGGCATCCTTGTCATTGGAACTAACAAAAACAATAATAACATTCATAGCTGGCATTTCAAGCTTATTTTTTAAGTAAACATTTCCTTTTTCTTATGTTCAATTTAAATGTAAATATGGAAAAGAATATGAGCAGTTGTAGCAGGAATATGAAGAAAATTGAAATGGAAGGAATATAAGAGAAAAAGGGTCTGGATGTTATAAATCATTGTACATTTATTTCTTTCTTTTCTTATAAGCATTAAATTGGTGATGTGGAGAAAGAACAAGTAATTTTATAGAAGGCATCTTGTAGAGTTGTAGAAGAAAGCATGATTAATTATATTTTATGAGAATCCTGGATTTTTCTCATCTTAAATATTTCATACAATGTAGTGACAAGCAATGAATAGCACGAATGTAAATTTTAAAAGAGGAAAATCTGATAGTGTTTCACAATAATCCATTTAGTGAAGAAAATTGGACTGCAAGCATGGCTAAAAGAATTGCAAAGAATGTTTCCTTCCTTCCTGTCCTTTCAATCTACCCATTTATGGTCTATTAAGTTTTGAGAATGGGATGTTATGCTTGTTGAACTTGAAAATATTTCAGTTAAGTTTGGGGATGATCCAGTAGCGTTTGTATAAAAGCTCAAAAAATCTCAATTTTTTCAAAATGTTTTAATTTTTCAAAATAACTCCGAATTTTTAAAAAGCTGTAAAAATTCAAAAAGCTCGAATTTTTCCTAGTTTCGAGTTTTCAACTAGCGCTGAATTCCCAAAGAGCTTTGATTGCTCAAAAAAGCTCTGAATTCTCAAAAAGCTCTGATTGCTCAAAAAGCCCTGAATTCTTAAAAGCACTTAATGCTCAAAAAGCTCTGAATGCTCAAAAAGCTCTGAATGCTCAAAAAGCTCTGAAAATTCAAGAAGCGAAGATTTTTTAAAAAAAAGCTTTATAAAATTTAAATAATTGAAATTTTTTTAAAAAGTTTAAAATCTTTCAAAAAGCTCAATTTTTTTCAAAAAACTGCAATTTTCTTTAAATAAAGCTCCGAATAAATCAAAAATTCCAAAATTTCCAAAAAGCTCAGAATAGCTTAACACATTTCTATAAAAAAATTTAACCTTCCTATCAACCCACTCAACCAAACTGTATACGGAAAATACAATAAAAGTTAATTTCTAAGAGACAAGCTTAATATAAAAGGTTCAAGTTTAATAAAGAAAAACTTCAACCTACACACACATTTATCTCTTAAGTCCTTTACTCTCCGTAATGAGCAGAAATTAGATTGTTCCGTGTTTTCACGCTATTTGAAGAATATGTAAGGATCTCCATTACATTGAAAGCTTTCAAAACACCTCAAAAGGAAGCATATTGATGCTGTCCTATGTAATTAATTGAGTTTGTATTGAAAAAGATTTTTTTAAAATACATAAAAAATGAAATGATTCTGAATATTTTTGTTGCATAAACATCAGGAACGGAACAAGATTAATTCCCTGCCTTAACCCCTCCCGTTCCTAATTACGCTTCTGATAGTAACATACATGAAAATCATTAAAAGAGAAAAATTTCATTTGAACGCGATAATCAAAGGAAAGCATTTCTTCCTATGAAATCCATACATTGTATAACATCTGGGATGACTTTATCACATTCTGTAAGCTGTCACAGGAGAACTCTTTTGAAAATGAACTCTGTCATTGAAGCCTTTTAAATGGAAAAAGTTGCTAAAGGAAGTTTGTTTCATGAAAAACAAATGAATGGGATTGTTGGAACTGAGAGACATGTGAGTTGAAGTAAAATGCAAATCAGGCAAATTATTTACTGGAACTGGGTTTTAAGATGTTGCTTTGATGAGTTTTTTAAACGGTTGATTAAATTTCTATGAATTTTTTAGGAAGTTTTGAGCTTTATCTTGTGTTAATTTCAAGAATCTACTTCTTTTGAGCTTAAGGCCATTTAGGTACGGTCCACATTTGTAAAAATTTTGGATTCTAATAAGAATTTGAAGAAAATTCATTTATAAGTTGTTTCTGAGCTCCCATGTCTTCCTTTTTTTTTTTTTTTTTTTTTTTTTTTTTATGTTTATATTTCATTTTATTTGTAAATAACCTTACGGTTGTGTTACAGATATAATAATCAAAATTGGTGACAAAGTGCTGTATTCATATTAAACTTAATTTTAATTTACCTAATTGCATCACTGTAGCCTTCATAGAAGTATTCTTTTATTCGAGATTTAAATAGGCTAAACGAAAAAGTATTTCGGATTCTCTGATCAAGCGAATTATACAATGCCAGACCTCTTATATAAAAGTTTTGACTTCCTAGCTGTGTGCGA